TTTTTGATAGGGAGGGTTAACTTAGCAGGTGTTATTGTGAGTTAGAACAACAATAGTTTTATACTAAATAACATTTTTCAAATGAGGTAGAAGAGAGAAATAACCTCGTGTTCTTGTTATTTTTGTTCTTTTATGTGAATTTTCTTTTTGAAAGAACTTTTTCTAATTATATTAAATGCACAGATGTAGATCGAATAAAGTAATTATGTTTAAAAGATGAGAAACTTGACTAATTAAAAACAAGTGTGTATGTGTGTTTCAAAAAAGAAAAGACGAATGGTTTAACGCTTCTAGAACTGAATAATATGACTGGAACAAAAAAAGAAAATCGAAAATTAGTGAAGCAGAATCACAAATATGCTGTTGAACAAGAACGCACTTTTTTCAAACTTAACATACTTTATTGTTTAATAAAAAATGATTTTAATCAAATTATTTATAACATGTCACTTAGTCTTTTCATTTGGATTTTTAAACTCAATTTCATTCGAACTTAATAAATTTCTTTTACAATCGGCTGCAAAACAAATTTACTAAGTTCTTATGATTTAACCATTGTTTCTTTCAAAGTATCCAAGATTGACGTGGACAGTTTTTTGTTAATCTGTTTGCTGTCGCGTGAATTTCTCTCTTTCTTCTTCTGAAAAATATAGCATGAGAATACAAATTAAACAAAATATTACACAAACAAAAGAAGTCCATATTCTGTCTCTTCTTCCCTGTATACTCATGGAAAGCTACAATGTGCTCACATACAGGACACATTTTTTTTTGTCGAATCGAGCACAACTTTTTAGCTCATTCTATTCTAGCTTATTCTATAACAACATGTCTTATATATCCTTCTTGCATATACAGCCATGTGTCCGTAATTAGTGTTTAATTCATCTCAGAATGCACTTTCTTCGAGGGCACATTGAATGGATCTAGTATTTTTTTTGCTTTTATATTGATCCTCGAAGAATATAAACACATTGCTAGGCACTACTTCATTTCTAGGTTCGTTAAATCTATAAAGACAACTTTCGACTAGCTAAACACTCTAAGCCGTATAGAGTTCGCTTCTTAAGAGCACACATAAGCTTTTGGCATCAAGTTGCTGAGTTTTCGAAGAAGTTTTTCTTTCGACTAGATTTGAATCATTAAAGTTCGATCTTCAATGAATTATAGAAATGAAAAAAGATGAAAGAAACGAGATGAATGTAAATTGCAACCCAAGCAAACATCACCTACGGAAAAAATCTAGATACATTTCGTCTGTAATCAGGCGATACACGACTAGTTATCATCCAGATTACTAGTTGGAAAAGGGACTTTTAACTAGATGCGTCTACATGTGTAACTAGCAATAGTTAAATCGATCGATTATCAGTTGATAAATTGATAGTTGCAACTAGGAGAAATCTAGCAATCGCCCGATTACCAAATTTTCACTGCCGTTAGCAAATAATTGCAATCGAGTAAAAATCCAGTAATGTAGATGAATTGGGCGATACTAGATTTTTATTTTGATGCTTGGGAATATGCAATTGTAAGTAGACCATATTTTAGAATATATCCAATTGTGCTACCTTTTAAGACATTTACTAAAGTATTGACAACCCCAACACATACCTAACGGGAAATATCCATGTGTTCTAGCAGAAAGTACATTATATGCACGTCACATTTTTTTACCGTACACATTCATGCCATATTACTGAATTAATGTGTATAGTGTATATAGGATGGTTAACTATGTTAGATTGATTTTTCTTCTGAAAAGTTTTTTGTAATTATAAATATAGACAAACAACTTGTTCTCTTGGGACAAGATATTCATTATAGTGTCCGATGACAGTTCATTTTGAACAAAAAAACATCTTCATTCATACTAAATGAGACTGAATGAAGAACATAGAGGTAGAAATGTGTCAAAATTAAATGACTATAATTAAGTAAAGAAAAAAAAATTAATTCAAATCAAACGATGTTGAGAAACAAGCTCAAATACAGACGTGTTGTCTTGTTGCAAAAAAGTTATTTTCAATAAAATATAAATTAGTGTAGATCCGTGTGACTTTCAAAAAGCTTGATCGTTTCTTTACCCTTGACATCAATTCATTCTAAATTTCATCTTTAGTAGTAAAGCATTGAACATTTCTCGAATAACTAGTAAAAAAGCATTTGGATAGTTAAAACATTGAAGTCGAATAAAGATATCGTCATATAAATCATACAAAAGAAAGAGATAGAGATCTTCACATAAGTAGGATGTAATACTATTTTAGAATATCTCAAAAACATCTAAGATTTCAAAAAGTACTGTTTTTTTAGATCTATGATCAGTGGGCTGTCTCCTTTCTCGGACAATATTTGTCTCAAATCTTTTTCTTAAATATCTTTTCAACCATAACCAGTCAAACTGTCGATTTTGCTTTAAGTCATGTCCTTCCTCTTCATCTGCGGGAAAAGTTTTATATTCATCACTGTTTATTCGTCTTCCGAAACAGATCCGTACAGAATCATTTTCAACGTATCATAGGTCTATAGTAGTGTTTAACCACAAGGGCCGAGAGTTTCTTTCCTACAGAAATCGAATACATGTTTTAAAAGACACATCGAACATGAGAGTGAATCTATATTTAGCAAGCAAGTGTTGTAAGAAAAATGAAGAAAAATACATCTGAGTCAAGATGCTTTATTATTTTAGCAAAAAGGCGTTTCTTTATACGAACAAAAGATACACCGATGAATATTAAATACCTGTGCAGACTCACTTCCTATCTATGTAGAATCAAATGGATGGAACTTTTGACTACGTACGGATCGCATAACATTTCATCTGGTGTAATTGAAATTGATCAGTAACAGTCAGTCCGTTATCAATTGCCCGATCGGGAAATAGTGGTCGAACGAGCAATTTGCCAAATCAGGCAAGATACTATCTCGGAAACCCGAGATCCTCTAACTGGCGGGAAGTATTTATTTTTCTTCTCGCACATTTTATATACATTGTGTATTAAAATTATGTGTTCAACCATCTTCCTGTCTCATGGGAGAAATAAAAGACAAAATTAACTAAATATCGTCCATTTTTAGCTTTTCCGATTTGGCAATAAAGCTGGTTCAGACAAGGTCGATCTTGCCTGTTTCGGTACTATATCTTGACAAAACGGGCAATATAGCCCGATCGGCCCAGAAGGCGTGACAGCGGACCGCTTGATGATAAATTTACCAAAATATGTAAAAATGGGATTCTAACTAACAGTTTTTCATGATTTATTCAAAAAATTATATATTCTCTTTATCGAACATATTGTAAAATTTTTGAAGTAATTAGGATGACTGTAGTAATTAGTAGTAGTATGTACAAAATCATGAGGGCTCGCTCGAAATCACTGCATATTGTATATTCGTGATATTTCAACCCTCAAGTTGTACCGAGCTGTTAAGTCAGATCCTTTCCGTTCATCTACACTCATTTTGGTTTTTATCGAAAACAGCGCTTTCTGATCGGGTACCCCTTAATCAATATTCTCTGCTCTACCCGAAACTAGTATCTGATGAAATCTGCCTTTTCCCCTGCATTTTCTACCAACCTTACCAAGTCTGATGCCTTTTTATTGGTACTAGATTTTTTTATCAGCTCTAGCATTAGTTTCGGATACAGCAGAGAACACTGATTAAGTTTCACATAAAATCTTCATACGGTCTAACGTTTTTGAATATAAAGAATGTGCGATCGTTGTGGCTAGCTTTCAAAGCCTGATACGTCTCTAGTAATTAGTTGAACCTGGAAGATATTATTATTCGCTAAAGTCATCTGTATTCGAAAACTCATAATATGACGAAAAATAGTACTTGTTTTTAAAAGAAGATCTATTTCAATTTGCATGACTATATCTAACTTATCTCATATTCCGGTTCTTCATTAATTTTTTTCCAGCCAATAGAATCCGAAATAATTATGAATTATTACCGATTTGTGGAAGAGAATGGATTGAATCGAATATCTAAAGCCGTTTTTATAAAAATTTCATAGCTTCATGCTATATTCCATTTCGACTGGGCATGTATCCTAAACTTTAACTGTGGTTAAAACTGCTATGAAGATTGAAGTAGCTACGTTTGATACATGTTAATTCACGAGAATAATCATGAAAAATATACATAAGACGTTGATTGACTCGAAGTTTCTGAATACTGACTGTATCATTTAAATTCAAATAAATTACTGTTATATCTGTTATTTGTGATGAAAAATATCCTCCAATGTTTTTCAGATTACTTTCGTTTACGTCGTATCACATTCGTACATTCGCTTAGCGTACGTATATCGGAACGTATTTTTACTGGTCAATCTTATGTAAGTTGTATTTATAGTGATTGGCAGTTGGAGAGCAGAGAACAGACAAATGGAAAATAAAACGACACATTCTAACTCCATTAAATTCTCATTTCTGCGTTTTTTGTTAAGAGAAAACTGAAAAAAGTCAGTGAAGCAAGAAAGAGTAAAAAAAAAAGAAATAGGCTCTCTACTTCCCTTTGACATGAAAATTGATTGAAGATGTTAACGAAATAAAAAGAACTTGTTGTATATGATTCTATAATGATGTTAAATGACAACAGAAAGAATATATAGGCACCGGTTGTTTTTTTTTTCTTTAAAAAAAAGTAAGAGGAATAAAATATTCGAAAATACTGATAATGATGTTGCTACAATTGGTGATGTGATAATGAGAGAGAGAGAGAGAGAGAGAAAAAAAATTTCTATTGAAAAAAAAGAAAAGAAAAAACGACAAGAGACATCAAATAAGCACTGATGCGAACCGATTCGCTGCACTAAGTTTTTTTCTCTATGTTTTAATCAAGTCTATGTTTTTCAAGAGATTCGATACTGCAGAACTACTTCAAACAAGAGAGAAAGAGAGTGTCTATTACATTCTATCAACGAATCATTGACCTTGCATTGAGTCCCAACTGGGCAGCAGTATATATATTTTTTTTGTTGAGAAATCATGGTTTCTGACGGTAGTGTATATTTTTTTCGATTATAAGCAACAAGCGAAACGATCGCGCTCTATCAATCAGCTCGAAACGTGCACGACGCGCTTCATTGCTAGTACCACTATCATCCCATATTATAATCGAACAACATTTTTTTAATATTTTTCTCTCTCTTGACAACTGCAAAATTTTTATATAAAAAAACCCATGTTTCCGTTCAACCAGTTCGTTGCAGCTCAGTACAGATATTCGAAATTTGGTAGGTATCATGTTTCGTATTACTGTTTTAAAAGGAACAGCATCTATTCTATTGTTTTCTTTTTTTTTTACTCTTTTAACTCCTCGTATCACTGACGCTTTCTATGCCATACATACTGATCTACACATTATTCTTGTTACCTGTTTAGGACATGGCGGTATTAATCAATTGGGAGGTGTATTTGTAAATGGGAGACCATTGCCAGATATTGTTCGTCAAAGTATTGTTGATCTTGCAAAACAAGGTGTGCGTCCATGCGATATTAGTCGACAACTTCGTGTTAGTCATGGTTGTGTATCAAAAATTCTTGGACGGTTAGTCATTTTTATTTGTTTATTAAATAATACAATATCTTAAGCTTGCATAATTTTAAACTCGTCTTAAAAATCAAAAATATACTATAACAAATATTTTTATAAGAATTATAGTAAAGACATTTTTGGATTATTTTTAGTATCGCTAATATACCTTTTACGAAGTCATCTTCAAAATAAAAGGTTCTACTTAACTTAACTATTTAGATTTCATGAAACAGGTTCTATTAAACCGGGCATTATTGGAGGATCAAAGCCAAAAGTGGCAACACCCAAAGTTGTCGATGCAATTACAAATTATAAACATCAAAGTCCTACAATGTTTGCATGGGAAATACGTGAACGATTAATTGCCGATGGAATTTGCGATCCAGATAAAGTTCCTAGTGTTAGTTCAATCAATAGGTAAGTCCTCTGTTAAAAAATGAGCTTGATTTGTTGCATCCAACTATTAAATTCAACTGTGTAATGAATAGAATGAAAATTTAAGTAAATAGATAGAAGTTTATGTATAATAATAGTTTAAAAATGCTTCATTGTCTAATTTTTCAATTGACTTAAATATTTTCTATATAAAAAAAAAACTGATGTTCTTTTTCTTGAAGTTGTTGTGTTTTTTGTTGATCAATGGATTTAATTCATTTATTTTTCTCAAATGTTAAATTATGCTGACGTTTTATATACAGAAATGTGGATTACGAAATGAAATGATACATCTTGCTTTCACATAATATGTTTTTAAAATGGTCAAATACAGTTGATTACAACAACAATTGAATTCTTTCTATTTTTTTCTCTTCTCTTCTTTTAAATAGAAATGACACTTTATATAGTTATAAAAATAAAAATTAAAGAAGCAACGTTTAGAAGATTGATGATTTGACTATATTTTCAATGTCAAATAGCTAATGATTCGAAACGCGACCGATGTTAATATAAATAGAAAATAAATTTTATTTGAAAATTAGTGCCGACAGCCATTTTCATTTGTTTTCTATTGTTTAAAAATGGAAGAATGAACAAATCAAATCGATATAAAAAAAATATCATTTGTAAAAAGATTTTTATTTGATCTATACAAAATATAGCTACTGAATATTTTGAGAAAAATGAAAATAAATTTCTATTGTTGTCAGATAAAAGTATGAAAAATATTTTAAAAAATATGACATCATCTTCGTTTACTTCAAAACATTGATAAAAATTATTCTTTTACTCATAAAAGATCTATCGCTGATATTTTCTAAGTAAGTTTACTAATTATTATCCAATTAATAAACTTCTCATAGTTTTGAAGTTTAGACTATTAGTTTTGATTATGTGCAATAAAATGTGACTGATTTTAGAACATTCTTGTAAATTAATCAGTGAACAGGCATACATTGAACATTTTCTAATTAAATTAATTATTCTTAAACAATATTTGTTTAAATTAAAATATATTCTGTTCAATTAATTTTTTCATATTAATTTGTAATATGATCTGAACTATAGATGAAGAAACAAAACAAAAGCGTCAAAGTCCATTAACACATAGTATATACATAAAAATCAATGTTTATATTTTTTTAGAATTGTCCGAAATAGAACCATTGAAAAACACAAAGATATTTCAGCATCGGTTACATCCTGTCGTCCATCGCCAACATCTTCAACAGATGATGAACATTATGAAGGAGCAGGAGGAACTACATCTTGTTCACCAGGTACAAACAATGCTAATGGTTATTCTATTCATAGTCTATTAAATTATTCACAATATTCAACAGCAGCTTTAAATGGAAATTATGTACATGAAAATAAATCACGAAAAACTTTTCAAACACCAACATCACGAACATCAACAACTAATAGAGGAATAGCGGCAACGGCCATCAATGAAACTGGTAAATATTTTTATATATAGAACTATATTTATAGAAATGAATGAATTATATTTATGTTTATAGTATAATGTCATAATCTAACTTATTAAAGAAAATTTGAAATGTTGACAAGTTTCTAATAGCCATTGTCCATCTTGATAATGTTTCTCTGATCTTGATATTTTTTCTCTATGACAAGTGAATTGAATATTAGTACACACGATGATGTTTTTTAATTTTGTATCCCATTAGAGAGAGCTAAGGGTTTCGTTCTTCTTCGTCTATTTATGAAGTGTATGATCTATATTTTAACAAAGAAAAATGACAAATTCCTTGTGGAATTTACTTATAGTCTGTCCATATTCTTTGTCTCGATTTCATCTATACTTTATATTTAGTATTTCTGTTGTTAATTCCATCCTTTTGAACAAATTCAATAATCTAAGTAAAAGAAAAAAAACAATAATAGATAGAGAAGAAGAAGAAGAAGAAGAAGAAGAAACTAAATAACAGATGAGATTAGAAGTTTATCTATAATGATAGAATGACTATTAGCGAATTACTCATGTGAAAACAATAGACTCCAATTCAAGAAAATTGAACTAAATCAAAACTACAAATGAAATTTGAAAAAAGTTTCACAAAACTTCTAAATATTTATTCAAAATAGAGATAGATTTTCATTCAATCATGATAGAAGTAACTGAAAGAAAAACATATATATATATTTGTCTTAGAGAATAATAAAGAGGAGAAGAAAAGATTGACAAGAAATAATATTTTCATATTAGGATAATTAGCATAGATTTAAGAATCATTTCTGTTATTATTGATTTTCTTTTGAACTTTTTTTACATAAGGAATCAAATAACAATAAAGTCTTTCAATAAGAGACAGCAATACCTAGACAAGATCTATTTGTCATTTTGAAACAGAAAAAAAAGATTATAGTCTTTTTTTAACATTTAATTATTATAATCTTTCTTAAACGATGTTATTTTCGAATAATATTTCATTTTTTTTTCTTCTATTTTTTCTACTTTTAGGTATATCAAATGTCGTACCATCAACAACCACGAACACTTCTTCTAATCCGAAGAGTCTGTCAGTTGAACAATTTGAATGTTTGGAAAAATGTTTTCGAGAAAATGCCTGGGCAGATAATTGTCATTTAGATAATATTAGTAAATTAACAGGTCTTGAAGAAAATGCTATAAAAGTATGTTACGTAAGTATAATGAATATTTCAAAAAAATAATTAAAAAATTTTAATATTTTTTAGTGTTATTTCGAACAACGTCGAAATAAATGGAATAAAAATAATGGAAGCGCATTATTTAATTCTTATTTACACTATCCAACATGTGTTACCACAAATGAATTTTCATCACAAATAACAGACACACCATCAGGCTATTCAAGTAGTTTCACTCCTACTCAACAAAATTTTACTCCTAATACGTCAGTTAAACACGATAGTGATGCAATGTCTGGTAAATATCATTTTTTCTTCTTCTTCTTCTTCTTCACAAATAATCTTTTGCTATCATTTTATAGGATCAAATGAATTATTTTGTTCTTATCCTACCATGTCAAATTTTTCAATTTCACCTACTCAAGCAAATAATAGCGGAGGTAGTTAGTCTTAGTTTTTTCCTAACATGACATGGTGATATTGCATATTTTTATTTTTTTCTACTTGTCTTAGGTGTTGATTATTATAACCAGTACTCTTATTCTAATTGGCAGTATGCTGGATTTAAAACGTAAGTGTTTATATTATTACTGAAAAAAAAAACGAAGATATATTATATAAATTATGTGTTATTTTTAGATATTAATGGTTCATCGCTCAAATTATTAACATTGAAGGTACAATATCCTAAAAAAAAAACGAATGAATGCAAACAAATCACTTAAAAGTTTTAAAAAATGATTTCCTTGTTATTTATTTTTATACAGTATGACGTTCTATTTTTCAAATGTAAATAACATTAATAATTGTTAAAGTAAAATAAATCCTTCATTTCGAACCGTGTACTTGAATAAATTCAAATCCTTAATAAAAGAAGACATTCATTTTATTACAAACAAAAATGTCACTGTTTGCTGTAGAGAAAATAATTCGTATAATAAAAAATTTTATTTAGTATTTTACATAAAAAATAAATGAATAAAAAAAAAAAGAAGAAAAATGGTAAAATGTTGTACTTATTTTGAATTATTCACTTGAACACAAATAATAATTGGAAAATGAAAGAAACCCATCACAGTATACATAAGCCATCTTACATGAGAAAAAGACATCATACAAGAAAAGCAGCACAATAATGAGTATAAATCCCACATAAACATATATTTAGTATTCAAAAATCAAAATATCTATATACATTAGAAAAAACTATGACGAGTATTAAAAAAATACACATTTTAATGTTTATTTGCTTTGTTGAAATCTGAGATTGATTTAATAGTGCATTTTTACAACAATAATATACACTTGAATTATTATTAACTATTTAGTGTTGATAAAATGATTTTTCTTAAAATGCAACATCATCATCATCATTATGAGAATATTTAGATAGTGTTGGACTTTTTTGTAATGTTGTTGATAATGGACTTCGATATCGACCTGGTGAATTTGGCCTAGATGTTTGAGGAGAAATTGGTTTCGAAGATAAAGGAAACGGTGGTGAAGGAGTTTGACGCTAAAATTTTAATTATCATAAAATAAGAATAAAAGTAAAAGAAGTCTATAATTACCATCCGAAGGGATGAATCACGACTACCAGTTGTTTCCAGACGACCGCCTTGATTAAATCGAGCTACAGACGAAGAAACAAAATTACATTTCTTTCTGGAATGATACTAATAAGTGTTATTTGTAGATGCTCAATAGACACTTATACTATTTTGACTTTTGCAGCATATTCATCTTTTAACAATCAATACCTGTGTCACCTAAACTTTGTTTAGAACTCGAAAGAGGTGCCTGATTTGTACGACTTCCATACAAGTGTTGTTTTGAAATTGAGAGAGGAGATTGATCACGTTCTCTCTGTCCAATTGCACTTGTGCGTGATGGCGGTGATTGTAGCCGAGAGCTCGTAAAATCTTTTCTTTCGCTAGTAAAAAAAGAGTAGTTAAAAGGAACCTACCAAATATGAGAACTTTCAAATGAGTTTATAGTTACCTTCCCAACTGATATGAAGGACGATTGTTGAAAGTTTGTTGACGATTTGATCCAACAACAATATCATCATCATCACTGTTAACTATTTTACGTCCTTTATCAAATGTAGGAGTTCTGGGACGATTATTCTGATCATTGGTTAATTGTGATCGATGTAAATGACCACGTAACACTGCTTGAACAGTTTTCACTGCATTCTATGCATAAAAAATGCCCATATATAACAAAAATTATAAGATATTAAGGAGAATAAAATACATCAAAACCACTGCTCGATGCATGAAGTTTGCTTCCCACCTCGTTCTCTTTGAATTTTGAACCTCTTATACTCTGTTGACTTGTTCGTGGAGAATCATTGCCAAAACCACCTTTCGTCTGAAATAAAAATTATAATAATAAATTATTAAATACATACTGCTTCTATGTTAGTCATATTATTGATAAAAGTAGCCAATAATATATTAGTCAGGATCGATCTTTTTCTGTTACAAACACACCTCACTTCTTTTTACGAACATCCATACTTTTTATTCTGAACATCCTTTTATGCTATATAGATCCGATTCCGAGCACTTGGTCGGATATCCGGAAGATCAAGGACGAAAAAAGACAGCCTCCTTTTATTGACTGAATTATGTAGAATAAAACCAAGATGTGCGACTATTTAACAAGAAACTCGCACAGAACGATTAGAAACACCAATAAAGAAGAGATTTTTGGAAGCATGCACAATTTGAAAAACTTTAAAACTAGAAAATTACATACTTGAGCACGAATTCTATCATCCCACTAAAAATAAAACATATTATCAGTTAAATTTAGTATCAGAATCAACATAAAAATGTTTACACTGGAATTATTTTTATAAAAGAAGCAATAAAAACATATTGTCGATAGCTGGACGTAGCAAGAAATGTTTTGCAATGACAGGGACTTAATACTTTTCGAGCAGTATTTTCTATCATATACACAATCAAACTGGGCAAACACTTCGTTTTTACTACTGAGATTAAAAATAAACTGAATATTGAAGTTATAGTCAAATGTACATTTCTATTCAGTACACTTCAAAAACTTACCTTATTCAACCCGTCGTTTCGTTTCTTATTGTCCAAAAATGGATCATTAACATGACGTTTCCTTTTCGAATCGTAATCACGCCATCCACGCTGAATTACTTTGGCAGCTCGCTTTTGTTTGAAGGTATTTACACGTTTTTCGTGATTACTATGAAAAATAACGTTTTCTCGATCAATAGGATCAATTTTAGAAGAACATACCTGTCCCACACATGTTGTTTAGAGCCGATCTTAGAATTTTTTAGCGATTGGTTTGATCTTCGTTTAGTTAATGGACTTGACGCACGTTCTAGTTCATCATGTTTTAAGAAATTTGATGATCGCGTTGGTGTATGACGGCCACTGAGTCCTTCGTTTGATTTCGTTATATTGTATGGTCTAAATTCATCAGAGTTTAAATAATTGCAACTCAATTGTAAAACCTCAACTGTGTAACTTTACTCGGAGATAGTGTAAGTTAAAAATTTCACAATCACTCAACGCTGAAAAACCCCAAACTTCTAAATACTAAAGATATTCGCTATCAAACTCCTCGCCTTATAGCTTTCGCACTACAAAAAATGAAATTTCAATCAGTAGCAGAATATCAAATTAGCGGGTCTTTGGAATGTTGCTGCTTTCGACGAGCATGTCAAGTATGAGAAAAATAATCATAAGAAGTTGAGGAAGAAATTTTGATTAAATAGTTTTTAAAGCTTAATAATGGAGCTCAGAATCTGCTCCTACAGTGAGCATCCGGGCGTTTAGGAAAATAAAACTAAAGAGCTCTTTTCTGTGATCTAAGTATAGAAAAATATACTTCAAGATATTGCACATATATTTCCAAAAGAATTTTTGTTCTAACTTCTAAGAATCATGAGAAAATATTTAGGTAAAAATTAGTCTAAAAATACATTGAGATGTGATGAAATAAATTTTTCATTGAAGTCAACCAGGTCCAGAACAAAAACGACATAGCTCACTAATTTTCCGTCGACGTGTAAAGAGTTTCCGAAAATTTTCTGGAGCTTCAAAGTTTGCCAAAATGTTTGTCTATATACAACATATCTCTAGTGCATGTAGTTTGATGCAACTCTTTTCCTAGCTCTCATCATAGGGTTTCCAATAAATCCTAGTTTTTTTTAGCTGAAATTTATTTTTCTTAATCCACGAACGTTTTTAAAAACAAAAAGGTCATATTCAGAATCACCGCGTTGAGTTGCATCAAATCATACATAAAACAATAAGTTTTGGATCGAATCCATCGAAATTTTGTCCGCCTGCTATTAGAAAATGTCGACTATGACCTCTTTAACAATCTCACGAAAAGCGTTTATTATATTTTTTATTAAGAAAACACATTTAAACTCGTTAAAACATATTGTCAATAAACGTGTTTAAAAATCTATATGATTAAACTTTCTAATAAACTTG